CCAGCCCTTTTGCAGTTTGCTTTTAACTTACATTGGATACAACAGACAGTTCAAATTTTTCATTTCTCACTTTTATGACAAAATAAAGAAAACTGACAGAGGGAGAGGTCTCACTAACACTAAAGGAATCAGAGATGAATGTAAAGAGCCAAAAGCACCCAAAAATATTGATAATGAACTTGATCATGGACATGGAACCTTAAACTGTAAATCTTCAGGTGACAACATCCTTCATTCTTTCAGACTCAAGAATTTATAGATGAACAATAAATTCATATGGAGAAAAAGAAAATATGGTTTTCTGATTCAGGGTCATTGAAGAAGGATGTCATCAAATTATATTTTGTGAGAAGAGCTTTTCCCATCTCCTTTTGCTAAATGAATGTGGGATAGAATTATTTTACCTTTTGTGATATTTGGATGCCAAAATTTTACTTTGCATACAGCTTAGAAATGGACAAATGGTAAAGGCAAGTTTGTACACATGGATGCCTGAAAAAAACCAGATAAAGTAGAAGTGAAAGAATAAAAAGTTAAGAGTCCACTGGACCCAAAGAGCAAATAGTGATGACTAATTTTTTTCCTGGAATATTGGAGGTTAAATTCATGTGTGTACTAATCAATGTACCAAGTTCTTATTTGAAAATGTAAAACACCAGTAATAAGGTGAAAAATCATTGTATTTCCATTTAAATTTGTCATCTCGAAATGCTTAGGAGCTAGGAGGGTAACTCAGTGTTATAGCATTTGCCTAGCATGTACAGGTCCTTGGGTTTGAACCACAGCACTGAGGAAAAGCCAAGAAAAGGTCAGAAGTGTAGGCCCTGGAGCTCTGCAGCCCTGGGATAGAATCCCGAGTGTAATAGTTAGTGCATGACCTTTGGCAAATTAGTCAGCCTCCCTAAGATCCAGTTCCCTCATCTGTAAAATAAGGATTAAAAATTACTTCCTCTTCTATAGAGTCTTATAGAGAGTAAATTCTGCTTGCAAAGTGCTTAACATAGTGCTTGGCAGAAAGAAAAAGATATATATCAGCTATGGATAGTGATTTTATTATCCCTGAGTTGCTTAGAACAGCTCTGCTTATCTATCAGATTTGGGAACCTAATCAATGGGAAATGACAACTGTATCAATTTATCACCAATAGAATTTATCATTGCTGATTCCTGCTGCTCCCACCAGGTGTTCACATTCCAGGTGAAGTGAAGCTAAGGAGCGGAAAATGTCAAGCTCCCAGTGGGCAGGCTGCTTGGGAGGCTGTGAACATTGTCAGCTTTTAAACTCAGATTTAATCTCTTACACCAAAAAACTGCTTTGTCTGACTTTTAGATTGAACAGGCATTATTTTAATGAATTCAAATTATACTAAAAAGTATCAGGAGAAGGTAAAAATCTGAAATCTTACTACCCAGAGAAAACACTATTAATCTTCCAGGCTTTTCTCTGTAGCTATGCACACATGAGCATAATTTTACAAAAAGCACTATCATACCATAGTTGGTATTTTGTAGTCGATTTTATATTCAAGAATATCTCTACTTTACTCAGAAGAGATCCATATGTTCATTCTTAGTAAGGTTCAGACCTTAAGGCATATAGTAGCAGGTAAAAGAAAATATGATCATCTACCTTTAAATAACGGTTTTGCACAGAAACTGAGGTGAGCTATGCAGTCCAAGTGGATTTCAAAAGCAATGGAAATTTCTTTCTCTTATGAAATTATGGGTGAGAATGGGAACCTAAGCCCAGTATGTGCTGTGTGACCCCCCGATTCCCACATGGCTATTGCTTGTGTAATGTGAAATTTGTGGAATTGAACTTTAATAAAATAAGATTGTGCTCTAACCTCAGTATATTTTTAGGGCTTAAAGCTTTTATTTCTTTCTAGATCACAACTCTTTCCGTCTTGGCCTCAAAAAGTTATTTCTGAGTGCTAAACAAATATGAAAAATATGGGTCTGGCCTGGGTCTTACTTTCTCCTGCCAGGCTGGGCTCTCTCCAGAGGCCGGATATGTGTGAGTCCTAATCCTCTGGATGCCACCATGTCTCTACATAAGCCAGTGGTCTGCACACCCAAACAACCAAGGCCTCTCCCAGGACACTACGGGGACCTTTATCTGGAAATCTGATCTCACCATTTCTGGAATTCAATTTCACCCTGCCAGAAGTCAGAGCATGGACAAAAAGATGTTGACATATCACTATTAGTTTTACCTGTTTCTATATTCTTCTTATGGCTTCTGCTTAAAAAGTCAAGAATGGTTTTGCTACTCCACTCCTAGATAATTAGCAGACAGCTATCACAAAAGAATTCATATTAGTCAAATTTCTATTGGTTTAAAGAGATTATGTTCACAATTTTCAAACTTAGACAAGAGTTCACAAAACTGCTTTTACTCTGAAAATGGCCTAAAATAATGTGAAAGAACCTGATTACTTCTGTGGATCACAGGGAGCTTTAGCTGGGGAGGGGGAAAAGAGGTGAAAGACAGGACTGGAGTGTCCAGGGCAAGATGCACAGCTAGGGAATCTTACAGGAGCAAGAGTAGTGAGTTTAGGCCACACCAAATCCAGGCACTGGAGACACTGACAGAGAGGCCGGCAGGCCAGTCCAGCTTTAGCAAGGCCAGCAAGCAGACTGAAGGGGTGGCCCAGGCCAGCCACCAAGGAAAGTCAAGTTCATATCAAGCAGTCTTGGGTTTTCTTACCAGGAAAACCCCTTTGTATTAAACCTGGAGCCCAAAGTAATATTCACACCAGCCATGGAGGAAAATAGCTGATGAATCTCCTAGACAGAGTCATCTAATCCTCGTCCTCTGACATCATGACATAGGAATGGAAAGCTTCCCCTGGGACCCCAAGGGAAGTTAGCGGTGTTAGTTAGTGGTGAGGAAACCCAGAAAGACATTTGCACCATTCCTTCCTTCACTATTTTCCCTCCTAGGCAGATAATTAACCAAAGAATATATGTTTTCACTACATGAAAATCTAATGATAGTGAGTCATTATTATATTAATAAGTAACCTTTATATAATAAGCCATGTCCTTCTATGCTATTAACAGTGAAAACAATGCAGAAAATGCCAGGGAAATGGTTTTCTTTCTTTTCATGGCCTTTATGGTAGTGGTTCTCAAATGTAGATTTCTGACTTTCTAGGTCCTTGTCAGAAATGCAAGTTCTTGAGTCCTACCCTAGATCAAGGAATTCAGACACTCTGGGGGCAAGGCCCAGCAATCTGCTTTTTAATAAGCCCCTGGGTGATTCTTGCACAAGTTCAAGTTTGACAGTACAGGCTTGGTGGAAAGAACCTGGGATGGGGGCCAGAAGACCTAATTCAGATTCTAGCTCTGGATTCTGCGGTCTGATTCAGTGAGATTCAATAAAGAGCCACGATGTGCCTCTCTGTGCACTGAGGTTAATGCAAGGATGACAGAATGCATGACAGGCATGATCCTCGCCCTCAGAGTGCCCCTAATCTTTTATATTCTTTTGCTCCTCTAGGAGGAGTTACTATTGTTGCTGTCCTTGTTTCTTATTTTTATTTCTAATGTCTGCTTCTGCAGCATCACAGGCACTCAATAAGCATGGAGTGGATTAAATGGTGAGGCCATTCACAAATTCAGATAAATACCACCATGCAACTAACTCATCAATAACCTTAACATCACCCCAGTCAAAGAAGTACCAGCCACTGCTGATTTACTATTTCTTACAGGTCAGTGATGAGTGTCCCTCATATGTTAGCTCATCCAGTCCTTTCCACCATCCTGTCTTGTGGGGGAATACTCTTAGTCCCACCTGAGGCTCAAAATATTAAGTAACTGATCTAATGCTATACAGCTAGAAAGTAGCAGAGCCAGTGTCACATTCAGAAATACCTACTTCCAGGGCCAGAGATTTAGCTCAGTGGTTTCGCCACCTGCTGCACAAGCGCAAGGACCCGAGTTCGATCCTTGGTACAAAAAAAAAAAAAAAAAGCCTTCTTCCAAAGTTCATGCTTGTAAAGGGACTGGAGGAGTAAACTGCCTTAAGAGTTAGTCTCCCCAAAGCCTCTAAGGTTGGTGGCTGGTTATCTTCTCACCATGTTTTTTACAACTGCATGATGCAGGCATTGCCTTTAGTGATCAAAGACTAAGAAAATCAAGTTCTGGGAGAGCTAGGCTTTCATGGAATAGATAGAAAATTCTAAAAATAGAATATATAGACATATATTTTCATTTTGCCAAGCACAATCTCTTGTCCCAAATATTGATGAACCATCATTAGGAGGGGGAATAAAACACTGATGTTAAAAAATACAAAAGCTATAAGTTTATAATAAAAGAGAGCCCATTGCATTACACGTATTTTCTCATATACAATGATTATTTTGTCCTATTTTTTTTTCAAGTTCCATTTGATTGACTCCCATCAAGCTCAAAGAAGTAGACAGTGGTGAGGAAACTACATTAATGGACTGTTTGCCTCTTAAAAGTCAAGCAAAATTACTCATAGGTGAAACAAAAGTGGGTACAGATGAGGCCAGGGCACCTTGAGAGGGTACTGGCCAGGCCTTTTGGCAAAGGATCCCAACCCAGGCAGCCAGGGAGAGTAGGAAAGAGGTGAGTGTTGATGTAAGGCACAAAGGCATGGGCAGCATGCATTGTGGGTCCCACAACATGAGGCAGCATTGACACCCAGGGAAATGAAGCAGCAAACAGGAGAAGCTGGCAAAGGTCTGCAATGAGTCTACACTGTGATGCCTGTGCAGCTACAGGATGTATTAAGTAATGGTTCTCCCTCCTTTGTCATTTCAGCTCTCTTAATGTTCTTTCCCTTCCTTCTCATCAGAAGGAGAAGACTCATTTGACATCTGTCATCTACTGTTTTCTTCTAAATGACTCAGGGTCAGGAGGCACTTAGTTAGGGTTGATGGAAGCCCAGGAACTACTGTAATCAATCTATAAAAAACCAAGAGAGAGGAAAAGGAAACTAATACCAGAAGCACAGATCTTACCTTACTAGGAGGGGGACCGTGGTCATCCAAGTAAGTGGAATTTCCTAGAAAAAAGAAGAAAAAAGGTTGATGGGTTGGTTTCTTTTGAATCCCAAATGAATTTAGCACAAAATCATTGAAAAAAAATATTGTAGATGTAATTCAGACAATAGTACCGAAGAGAAATGGATGATTATTAATCACTAGTATAGCCAGGTTTTGCTGATATTACCATGCTTGGTTAACAGTTTCAGCACTTACAATCTTCCAGGTTGATGTGCTACAGCTCCCAGCACAGAGGAGGCTTCTGGGCCAATGTGCCACAGCTCCCAGTGCAGAGTAGGAGGCTTCCAGGCCAACCTACCACCACTCCCAGCACAGAAGAGGTGAGCCTTGTGGGAGCCAGCAGCACCCCCCCACCCCCAATGAAATGAGAAGACAGGTAAACAAGAATCAGAATCAGACTTTCAGATCACCTACAGCAACCCCAAAGGGAAACGAGATAGAACACATTGATACTTAACCATGTGGAGTCCCTGAACTAGCAACAAAAGAGGATCTGGAAAAAATGAAATCAGAAATTACTTCTCACGTAACAACAGAGATTGTGCCCATAGTGCAAGACATGATTAATAAATCTAGAGAAGACACAGATAAAAAAATAGAAGAGCTGAGAAACATGATCAAATCCCAACATAGGAAACAAATGGAATCCATGAAACAGATGCAAACAGATTTCCAGGAGATTAAAAACTCCATTGAAAGTCTACACAACACAGTGAGCTAGTGTGAGGACAGAACTTCATATATGGAAGATAAGATTGCAATTAGTGACCAGGAAAAGAAAAATTGCTATAAAATTGTAAGGGACCATGAGAAATCAGTCCAGCAGCTGCTAGACAATGCAAAGAAGAATAACATAAGACGGATTGAAGTCAATGAAGAAACAGGAGACAGTGTAGATGACATAAAACTGTTCACAGAAGTGATAGCAGAGAACTTCCCAAGCAGGGGAAAAGAACTTAACATTCAGATAAGAGAGGCATATAGGACTCCAAATAGCCTTGATTAAAAAAAATTGACAGATAGACATATAATTGTTAAGATTCCAGAAACCCAACAGAAGAGCAAAGTTCTACAA